GTTCAGTGATTGAGCATCAACCTATGAACCAGGAGGTCACGGTTTGATTGTCAGTCAGGGCACATGCCCAGGTTGCGGGCTCCATGCCTAGTGTAGGGCATGGAGACAGCCTATGAATGACTCTCTCTCGTCATTGATATTCTATCCCTCTCTCCCTCTCCCTTCCTCTCTGAAATCAATGAAAACATTTTTTAAGAAGAACAGGCCTCTCTGAAGACAGCTTGCAAACCTTGTAAAGACAAGCAGCGCGGCCTCACCCCAGACACGGGCCCTGGCAGGAATCGGTGCCAACCCATTCGTCTCTGGAAACCAGCCAAGGTCGGGAGGCAGTTCCGCGGGACGTCCTTGGGGACTGCTCCTCGGGGAAGGCAGCGCAGGCCACGCGGCCTGCCGACAAAAAAAAAGGGGGTGTCTTGAGATGGGGGGTGGGGTGCAGCCGACAGCGTCCTGAGGGCCGGTTGCGGGGTCAGCCCCCGCCTTCCTCCGTCCAGTTCCTGTTGTTTCCCCGTCTCCTAGCCTGTGGCCTTGATGGACAACAGGTTTCTCCTTTTGGTTTCCTTAGATCAGTGGTCGGCAAACTCATTAGTCAACAGAGCCAAATATCAACAGGACAACGATTGAAATTTCTTTTGAGAGCCAAATTTTTTAAACTTAAACTATTTAGGTAGGTACATTGTGATTAACTTAATTAGGGTACTCCTAAGGCTTAGGAAGAGCCACACTCAAGGGGCCAAAGAGCCGCATGTGGCTCGCGAGCCGCAGTTTCCCGACCACGGCCTTAGATCTATGAGTTACGTCTCCTCCACCAGCCACGGCTCGGGGGCGCGAGTGTGAGACGCTGACCCGTCCGACTGTCCGGCTGCAGCTTGCGCCCTGGCCGAGGCTCTGGTTCCCACTCCTTCTAGACCTGCTGCTTTCTGTGGGCTTCCATTCACTGTCATTCTTTCCATTCCTGTTATAAGCAGACCTGGTCTCAATTTATCAGAAACGATCACTTTTCCGAGCAGTAGTCACATACCTCGCTTATGCTCCATGCTCTTATTTTTTAATTTCAGTTACATTCACAGTTATTCCGAAATGGCTTCTGGTGTTCAGCGTGGTGGTCGACGCTCATATCTCACTCAGGGTTCCCCTCGGTGGTCCCAGTGCCCCCCCCCCCGGAACCGGACGCAGTGACTGCAGAGCTTCCGCCGGCATTCCCGGGGCTGCACGTTATGTCCCCGGCGGTTCGGTGACAGCCAGTCTGTCCTTCCGGATTCATCCCTTCACCTGGGCCACCCAGCCGCTCCCCTCCCTCCCCTCCCTCCCGCCACCATCCGTCTATTCTCTGACTATGAGTTTGTCCTCATTTTGTTTGTTCATTTGTTTTGTTCTTCGGATTCGTTCCGCACGTCAGTGAAAGCGTGTGTTATTTGTCTTTCTCTGTCTGACTGATTTCACTGACGTAACACCCTCCGGGTCCATCCATGTTGTCAGGAAGGGTAAGATTTCCTTCATTGTCACGGCCGAGCAGTGCTCCCTGGTGTGCATGTCCCACAGCTTCGTCATCCACCCATCGGCTGACGGGCCCCTGGGCGGTTTCCCGATCTTGGCTATTGTTAGTGGCACTGCTGTGAACATAGGGGTGCCTATGGTCTTTCAAAGTCCTGTTTTGGGTTTCTTCAGATACATTCCCAGAAGTGGGATCACTGGGTCATAAGGCCCATTTTCTTTCTTTCTTTATTTTTTTTAAGCCTTTTTTAAAAAAATACATTTTATTGATTTTTTACAGAGAGAAAGGGAGAGGGATAGAGAGTTAGAAACATCCTTGAGAGAGAAACATCGATCAGCTGACCTGGGCCTGTGCCCTGACCAGGAATCAAACTGTGACCTCCTGGTTCACAGGTCGAGGCTCCACCACTGATCCCCACTGGGCGGACAAGTAGCTGATTTCTAAAGGCTTCAGTGAGATAGAATTGGTCCACCGTGCCATTCACCCATTTGGCACACAACTCAGTGGCTTTTAGCATCTTCACAGAGCCGTGCAACCGTCACGGTGACCAGTTTTACAACCTTTTCTTCCCACCGGAAAGAACCCAGACCACTGGCAATCCCCCCAGCTCCC